CCTAAGTCATGATATAGGTCCTGGAGGGCGGATCTCAGTTCTGCAGAGCCTAAGTCATGATATAGGTCCTGGAGGGTGGATCTCAGTTCTGCAGAGCCTAAGTCATGCTATAGGTCCTGGAGGGTGATTCTCAGTTCTGCAGAGCCTAAGTCATGCTATAGGTCCTGGAGGGTCGATCTCAGTTCTGCAGAGCTTAAGTCATCATATAGGTCCTGCTGAGTGGACCCAGGCCATTAGCCATCAGTTAATAACTTTTAGGTAGCTAGTTACTATGATTTTAGGTGGAAAGGCTTGGTTGCCTTGTGCTTACCCTATATGTAGGAGTGTGAGGTGGAACAGCCTATAGAAATTGTGTTTGCTGTTAGGTTTAACCTGTGGGGGGCACGGTTAACAAATTCTGTACATGAAAAGTGATTTGTCAAGTGTATCAAAGTTGATGTAAGACTGACTCAGGTTCTGTCACATAGTCTGGAGATCTGTCTCTTTTTTACATAGTTTTTGAAAGATGAAAGTGTATTTTTGTACAGAATTTTACATCCTTTTTTTCTCTGTTTAATTCAGACTTATGACAATTTCCTGTATCTTTCCTAAACAAGACATGAGTAAACATTAGTGTTGGAGAGGCAGTAAATTTTTAAGTGCTAGGAAAGCTGCAGTTTAAATGGAAAAGAGATTTGTGACATTAAAGAACCTGACTTTGCCACAGGATAAGCTTACACTCGTGATTGCAGTTGTTCTTTATTAATCGCTACTCTTGATGATACTGAGATGGACTCTGATTCAGTTTGAGTCTAGTTGTTCCCTTCCAGCCAAAGAGTGTGTTTAATAGGGTACGTGAAGGGTTTTTTAAAATAGATAAAATAAGGTTAATTGGAAGGAGAAAAGAGAATATTAAGTCTTGTGGTTTGAGAATTCTTATCTAGGAAACTTGATTAGTTTAGATGTCATGGAAAAAAGAAAAAATACATGTAATTGGCCATTAAATATTTTATAGAGACTTCTTTTTCTGGCCATAGAAAAGCATGGTGATGATTTTTTATTTTTAGTAGCTAATATTTCTTTATTGCAAATTCTGTTGTTAAGTGAAAGATCTTTATTATTTTTACCTAATGATGAAATTTAAAAATTAAATATTCTGATAACTATTCAAAATGTATAAATCAGTTAATCTCAAACCTAAAGTGTTAAAATGGCAAAAATAAGGTGGTGAGCTCTTCAGCCACTATTATTTAATCGTTAGTGTAATTAGTTAAAAGTGATCAAGTAAAACTGTGTGAAGAGCAGTTGTTCTTATTAGAATGCAAGGCACTGTCCGCAGCCATGTTTTCATTTAACATTAAACTCCATTTGGTTCAAACTACTCCTGGACTTCTTCAACCTCTGTCCACTGAGACTCCACCAAGCTGGAAGGCATAAGCACACATAGCCCCATCATTGCTGCGGGGGCTGGGGTGGGAGGGGTGAGTAGACCGAGCTCTACTGGTGGACACCTCCTGGCCCAGCACAAGTCTGTCTGGAAACAGTGGCCAGGGGGGCCTCTGTCTTGTTTTGTTTTTTCTGTTATTGTGTCTTTGCATCTTTCAACAAACTGTGTGTAGCTGGCTAGAAGGAGAGCGCTTTAAAATCTGTGTTAGAGGTCTACACTCTTCACTGCATGTTGAGACCAAAGCCTGCATACATTTGTTCTGAGTGATGGCAAGGGGAGTCCCCGACACTCAGAACCAGCGCGGGTTTATGAGGTCTTAGGTCCACTGTATCATGGTAACAGTTTTTACAGTTATGTTATCATCTAAAAAAACTATAGCTGTGTGTCAACCTGAAGAAACTTGTGGGTGTCTGTGTGGGGGCGTTTCCTGTACCTATTGATCTGTCATATGTGGTTTTCAAATTCAGCACCAAGCAAGAAAATGATCCAGGCACTTTCAGAAGACAGAGTTCCCTTAGAAAGTTAGATGTTAGAAACATTAAGCTTTAGTCACAAATAGCAAGAGCAAAGAGAAACATAAATAAAGACTAAGGTAGACATGCCTGAGAAGGGTGTGTCTGTGGATTGGACACGCTTTGGAAATTTAACTTTCTGACAGTTCCTGGGCTTGCTCTTTTTGTTGTTGTGGTTTTCAGTGCCCTTCCTGTCTTCTGCTTGCCCCTCCCCTGTTTCATTCAGATGCAGGTGGGGTCTGTCACCTGTACCTGGAAGAAATCCTTCCCACAAGGCCACTGGGGTGTGATGTTTGAGCTCAGCTGACTTGAGGGGATAGTCGAAACCACCACATTCTCTGTGAACTGCAAGACCAGTAGATTTTAGATGTTCTCTTTGGTGTTAGTGAAGCATTGTTATATTGTACATAGTGTTTGCTATATAAAAAAGTTATGTGTTATGTCAAATTCATTCTATATGGAGTAGTCTATATAATCCTTTGTTTCCAACTTGTTGTCTGTAGTGGTGAAACTCATTCCTGTGAATTTTCTCTAGTTTGATAGATGAATCGCTTGAATTTTCAGCCTGGCGTGGGAAAAGAATTCTTGACTACAATTCTCTTTCCCCATTTAAATTTCTTTTTTCATTTCTCTTTGCTTTCTGTTCTCTTCCTTTCTCTCCCTCGCCCCGTCTTTCTTTGTTGTTGGATATTTTTCTCAACTGCCAGTGGAATTATTGTCTCCCTGTCTCCACATTCAGGTAGTGTCAGTGGCTGAGTATCACCGCAGGATCGATGCTCTAAACACTGAGGAGCTGCGCACTCTCTGCAGACGTCTCCAGGTGCCCTCCTAGCTCACCCCCAGCTTGCGTACTCCCTAGCCTTAGTGTCTCTGCCAGGGCAGACCTCCCACTCAACGCATTCGTTCTGACTCCAGCACTGAAGTGACCCATTGGAAAATGCCTTTTATACTAAAGCAGTATTGCTTTGGAGAGCTGTAGGATTATCTTTTCTTCTCTTGTCATTTGAAAAGTACTCAGATTAATTTTCTGTCACTTTAGGACTAGCCTTGGAACTGTGTGTTTCTTTTGTGAAGCTCAATGAGTTTTCATTTAAATTTAATACCAGAAGAATGCCTTTGGTTTGAGATTTATTATAAAACAACCTGAAAAATGTGAGCTTATGGGAAATTTTAAAAATTTAATGGGCAGCAAGGCTTAAAAATTTTTTATTTCAGTTGTATAACTCCACATCTCATATCTTCAGGGGACAAATTCTTTTTGTTCTCAAGGCATTCTTCATTGGTATTAAAAATACTCTGGAGAGTATAGATTAGGCACCAGAACTAGATAAATTATTTAAAACTGCATGAAATAATCTTTGTATTTTTTTAAAAAAATCAAGAAAGATACACAATTGAAAACTCATTTTGCAGTGTGTGCATTATTAGCTGTGTGTCTCGGGCATCTTAGTAAGGTATGTTTGTGGTTTTGATAGACCTGCTGGGTATTTTTCTTTTCTTTTAATGCTGCTTTGGATTTCTTTTTCTTTAAACTTTCACATCATTGATGATGTGAAAGCATTCACATTTAGCTTCTCATCACAAGCCAGGCAGTTGTATAGCATGTACTTGTTGGACAGGCACTGTGCAGGTCTGGCCAGAGATACTCCAGGGCCAGAGTCGCCCAGCGGTTCCATTCCCTGCGAGCCAGCTCCCAGGCGCCGCTGCATTTTAGTGATCTGCTCCCACAGGAGGCTGCTTGTTTTCCAGTTTGAAACTGTCATCATTGGTAGTTATGTTTCATATCCTGTATTTTCCCATGTTTCATATATTAAAATTAATATAAAAAGTACTAACAGAATAGACTGTACAGAAGTGTTTTTTATTAATCATCTAAATATTTAAGGTAGCTTTTTATCATATTATCCGAAGCAAAAGCATGAAATGCTCTTAATTTTTTTGCAAACATTTGTGAGTAAGTAACTTCAAAATTTATTGCTGGGTTCAACTAGAAAAAAAATTTGATGTTTGAAAAGTTAAAAAATGACATTTTTAGGGCCGCAGAGATAGCCCAGTGGCCTAAGCACCTGCCTAGGCAAGCATGTGCAGTGCCAGCCCTGCCCCATGTGCATGGGGCAGCCACCTAGACTGGGCGTGGTGGCATGTGCCTGTAATCCCAGCACTGGGGAGGCTGAAACAGGAGGATCATTACAAGTCCGAACTGCATAGTGAGACGCTGTACCAAATACATTAAAAAAATAAAAAATGACCTTTTAAAAAATGAGAACATTTTTAGTCCACAAATATATATAGAATTACCAAGAAGAAGAAAAATGATACACATTTTATTTTACTATTCTTTAAATGTTGGATTCCCAGGAAGTTTTTGTAATTGTTTCTGACAATTGTTAAGTTTAGCATGAAAAAATAATCCTACGTATTTTAAGTAGCAGCTAATTGAAAACCAGCTAGCTGGTTCACTTTTGCACTCCAAGGGCTAAAGTTTGCATGGAACTCTCTCCCATTCCATACAAATATGGGGGCCGAACTACTTAGTTCAAATAAAGTCTGACAATTGGTAAATTCATTACCAGTTCTTCCTCATGTTGTGGGTGAGAAAAGTGAAGTTCTTTCTCTGAATTGGATATACCACTGATAACAGATGGGGGATCTTTAACCTTTTAAAATCCTAAGCTCAGCTTTAGCCACCTGCTGGGAGGTATAAAGTGTAGCTTAACTAAAAGTGTGATGCTCTGGAGTGCTTATCTTAATGGTAGTAACAGACCACTCCTGGTTCCTTCTTAGATCACCACCCGGGAAGACATCAGTTCCAAGCAGGCTGCTCCTGTGAAGGCAGAGCTGGAGTCTGAATCTTTCCGGCCCAACCTCAGTGACCCCAGTGAGCTCCTGTTGCCAGACCAGATTGAGAAGGTGTGACCATCTGTGTGCATGCGTATCGGGGGTGTGGGGTCAGAGGAGAGCACCCGTTTTCAGAGCTGCTGCTGCTGCTCTGCCCTGAGAGAAAGGCAGCAAAACTTGACAGCTGGTGAGAGTAGAGGGGGAAAGAGCCAGATGTCAGCAGCACACAGAGAATGACCTCAGCAGCCTAGGCCAGCCTAGATCCTGGCCTGGACCTGGTCTGTCCTGGTGCGGTTCCTCCCCATGTGTTACCTCATGGAGCCCTGACACCAGCTAAGGACTGCAGTATTGTCAGTGTGAAGGTTTTTATAAGTGAACAAATTGTTGATATAGTCAGTGAGGCCTGATTTCTATTCTAATTCTTTATCTGAAAGTGTTTTGATACATGGAAGGCACAAGCAAAATTATCTGTTTTTCTTACCTCTGGTTCTTTGTGAGTCCTTCCTCAGTGGACAACTAATATTTCTGCTGAGAAATGATTAATTTTTAAGTGTCTCAGGATCTTTGAGAGTGATGAACTGTTGGTTTTTCTCTTTGTAGCCTACATTTAATAAGTACAATTAAACTCCAACTCATGTTAGTGTCCTGCATATGGACACTAAAACTGTCAAGTAAAAGCTGGCATTTTTCTTTCCCTAAGCTCACCAAGCATCTTCCGCCAAGGACCATTGGCTACCCATGGACCCTGGTGTATGGGACAGGCAAACATGGCACCAGCCTGAAGACCCTTTACCGGACTATGACAGGTCTGGACACCCCCGTGCTGCTGGTGATCAAAGATAGTGATGGCCAGGTAGGAACACTAACTGCACAGATATTGTCAGCAGGGGTCACAGTGACAGTGACTTCCAGCCTCTTCACCTGAGAAAAATGATTTCAGCAGCATATTGCATTATGTAATTGATAATTATTGGGTAATTTTAGATGTAAGGCATTGCTGAGTGGATAGAGGATTAATAGAAGTAATATAAGCATGGATATGAATAACGAATGTCTCTCTTCACAGAGAGTATGATGTGGTAGAAAAGAGCATCTAATGATATTATCTCTAATCTTGAAAATAAACTAAGTATAGTAAGAACCCAGAAAAAATGAAAGTGGTATTTAAAGAGTTTTTCATACCAGTGAGGCTCACAAACAGGATAGGACTGACAGTCATGAAGCCTGGGTAAAGTTTGCTGGATAAAGACATTTGTAGCGGGTCCTCGTGGCACATGCCTGTGTCCCCACACCCTAGGAAGCTGACTCAGAGGACAGCCAGTTTGAGCCCAGTCTGGGCAGCTTATTGACTTAGCGAGGGCTCAGAGGAAGACCTGAAAAGCTTTGAGGTTTGGAACCCAGTGCAAAGGCCCTGGGTTCAATACCCAGTACTTTTAAAATTAATTGATTATTTAATAGTAATTGGAAGAACAAAAGCACAGTTAAGAGAGAAGCATTGATTTGCCCCAGCATAGCGAAGTACATTGCTGGCTCCACTAGTGGCTTCAGTGCCTGCAGCATGTTGTGAATGTGATGGTCAGCTCGGCCGTGTTCCGGTTTCATCCCCCAGGAGGTAAAGGTCTTCCCCATTTGAGAGTTAATTTACCCAGGGCTAAGCGCTTGGGAAAAGGCTCCGGTGCACTGGCAGGGCGCCGAGGAGCATCATGAGCGTGGTGCCAGCCCAGTCTCCGGGAGAGGAGCGTCCTGTGCTCCCAGGCGTGAGTAAGTGGGCCGGCTGCGTCTGTGGCGTCAGGCGCCCCTGGGAGGCGGGCTGCTGCCTGCAAGAGGCAGGGGAGCTTCTCAAGCTGTTCACCAGTGTTCTCTGTCAGAGGTGCCTGTCAGGGGCTTGGCTTTGTGATGATTCCAGCCATGACTGTGTTTGCATTTCATGGGCTTTTCTCGCCCCATGGATTGCCATTTCGGTCGAGGAGTCTGTTAAAGGTTAGAAGTAGAAAAAAAGACTGTCAGGAGAGAGGGTGACTACAGAAATCGCCCACCAACCTCTGCTGTCTGGCTGGGAAGTGGCACTATGGCCCCAGCATGCTGAAGGGACACATGTTCATCAGTTGTGACCCAGGCCATCTGCTGGGTGCCATGCAAGGCTGTGAGGCTGAAAGGCCCGCAGGTCCCACCAAAGCCTGCCCTCAGGAGGTTTTCTAATAATACAGGAAGTAGTAGTCCATGTTTTAGTGCTAGAAGTTTACCCAGGCTGAAGCATTTTTGTGTTCCTAAGCACTACACCAAAATGTTACCCTTATTATATATACATTGTCCTTGATTTACCACTCTTTCAGTTGTCTGCTTGTTATAGTAAATATCTTCTTAGATTTCAAAATTAGAAAACATCTATTTTCCCCATTGAAAAGCTGATATTCTTTTCGTTTGACATGAATATGAATTATATAACAGGTAATTTTTCTTTTTAAATAGAAGTATATAAAAGTATTCCAGATTTGAATTGTTTCATTTGAGTTAAGCATAAATGATGAGGGTATTGCTTAATGACACAAATTCATGGCCGTGCCCGTGGATGTGCCTTTGCCACCCTAGGTCTTTGGTGCATTAGCATCGGAGCCATTCAAAGTGAGTGATGGCTTTTATGGGACCGGAGAGACCTTCGTGTTCACCTTCTGTCCAGAGTTTGAGGTAAGGAATGCTGCTCATATCTTTATGTAAAGAGGTGCCATGGCAAAGAAATTGTGCTCTTTGGGTCTTGATCCTTTAGGTTCAAATGTCAGCTTTTCCGTAAGAGATAAATTACATTTTATTCTTGAGAAAAGGAATTAACATCATCAGTTTAAAAAATAAGAGTGTGTATTCCTTGCCCGTGGTATCTGGGAACACAGCAGGAAGGGCTGACAGTGCAGCCGACTTCCTTTAAACCCCCTGCTGATGTGGCTCTCCCCGGCCACCGGTCTGCCCACCCGCTCTGGGATGGGCTCCAGCCGGTGCCCAGAGCTCGTCGTCTGTAGCTGTCCTGGGCTTCCATGCTGCTCCTCAACTGTGTTAGGAGATCGCTGCTCAGACCTGCACTGACACAATCAACTAAGTTTACATTAGTACACGAATGTGAACTATACAACTCATCATTTTTCTCTTTTTAAGTAGAAGTATACAAAAAGAAAATGATAATGAATAATTCTGAAAAACATGGTAAACCTGAGACTCTAGATATTGTTATTAGGTTTAGGTAAATTACCCAGAAAAGATTAGATAAATATTTAAGAATATTAATGACTAGCCTTGTCCACAGATTTGTCAATTTTTTGTAGAGAATAAAAAAATAGTGCAAAAAATTAGAAACGATATAGAATTTCACTAAACAAAATAATTATTTTCTTGGGCCAGGAGATAGATGAGCAGTCTAAGTGCCTACCTGGCAAGAGCAAGGACCTGGGTTCAGTCCCCAGTACTGCACCCATATCAGCCCCCCACGGTGCAGGCCATTGAAACTGGGTGTGGGTGGTACACACCTGTAATCCCAGTGCTGGGGAGGCAGAGACAGGAGGATCACCACAAGTCTGAGCTTCATAGCAAGACCCAGTATGAAATAAATAAATATTTTTTTTAAAAAATTGCTTTTCTTGGGAGAAATTGAAAGTGGAAAAATCTGAATGCATATCATGAGTCATGGAAGAATGATGATTACCAAAGCCATACCCTAAGAAAAGACCGTGGGCCTGGTTTAGAGTTATCTTTACTTATGTTTCTTGTTAACATTAATGTCGGAATGAGAGCTGAGAGATTCATTGTCTGAAAAGTTAATAAGATTTGAGGAAGTAGGATTGAGTAACTTTGTAGGACGGGTTGTGCTTTCAGATTTAGTCACACAAACCCGAAGCTAAGCTTTTTGTATTACCTTCATTCCTAGTAATGTTAGTGAAGACTTTGCTAATTCTTGAGTTTTGGAGAACTAGCTGCTTAGGTGCCATTGTTATTTGTATGCATACAGCTTTGTTTTCATTTGTATAGGTCTTTAAGTGGACTGGAGATAATATGTTTTTTATCAAAGGAGACATGGATGCATTAGCTTTTGGTGGTGGAGGGTAAGTCTCTTGAACTTTTCACCATGAAATTTTTGAAGCAACTTTGAATATGCATTTGGATTATTAATGCATTACCTTTGGAAAATTCTGACATTAAAATCCAAACTTGTAATTTAAGGAAAAGAAACTATGTTGATAAGAAGTAAGCCAAATATAGTATTTGAAACTTGGTGAAGTATTTTTTCTTCATTTTAAAATGCTATTTATTTCATTCCCATTAATGGTAAAAGTTAACTCTTTTACCTCAGAGTATAGTAGATCTTTGATATTTGAAAGGAAACCACCCTACTGCCTTTGACCTTCTGAAGTGCTCACGTTATCGTGGTGGAATGTCATTTTTCCCAATGTGTGGGATACATCTAGAGTGTTCCAGTTAGTCTTCTGTGAAAACTACTTGAATTAATATTTTAAACAATAGTAGAGATTTGTTTTCCTGCAAAAAATTTTAATGACTCCTGAAAGATTAAGGGTTTTTGGTCTGCTAAACAGTACAGATCAGTCCCCTGGATTCTTTTGGATCCTAGGCACTTTGAGGAACTTGATTTCTTGTTTGTTCAGTGAGAAGCAGCCTATCCTGCTCCCTGATAGACAGGGCTTATAACCCGCCAGCTCCTTCCTTGGTGTTATGGGACATTGACTGCTAAGTGGTTCAGACTTGTGAAATGTTGTTATTATATCCTGCAATCAAGGATGTATACTTGTAATTTGTTTAGGCCACAGAATTTGTTGAACCGCAGGTATACTTGCTATCTTTGGCAATTCTAACAAATTTTCTTACAACTTACCTATGAATAGGTGTTTCAAAGGCACAATTATAGTGGTTAAAAAGTAACCATGGTTACTGTAGCTTTCCCGGTTATTTTTTTGGTTTTTGGACTCAACATACAAGGTTTATGTGGTCAAGCCACACCTTTTTTGTAGTTTGAGGGTATCATTAGCTCTTCCCTAAGTGGTATTCTTACATGTGATTCTTAGAGCTCTCCAAGAAAGCCTCACAGTCATGATACAGTGTGAAACTGATGTCTGCCAGAACTGGATTTCAATTCTGTAACATGATTCCACCAAGCTAAAGTAACCATTGGGTCATTTGATAAGAAGGCAAATTTCCCATCTTCTGGGAAAAAGGTATACATTCAGAGACAGAAACCACAGGGACTGACTGTTCCAGAATGCTAAGCAGGAACCTTCTGTCTTGCTCCATTTTCTATTGCAATAGCCAAAGACCTGAAGCTGGGCACTTAACGCAAAGAGATTTATGTAGCTCACAGATTTGGAAGCTGCAAGCCTGAGACTGAGCAGCCCCATCTGTTTGGCCTTTGATGAAGGCCCCCTGTGGCTGCATCTCAACATAGCAGAGAAGTAGGAAAGCAAACAGCCTTGTGCAGAAGAGGTCCTCTGGCAAGATGGGAGTGAGGCCCCCAAGGAGCTGAGGTGCCAGACTTGCTCAGTGGATCCTTTTCACAGAAGCCACTTGGGCTTCCATGGGGCCCTGCCTGGGGTGGTGCCCTACCTGGGGGAGAGGGGGACTACTCTGCCAACGCTTCCTCTTAAGTGCTCCACCCCCTCTGGACATAGCTGCATGTGGACCACACTTACAGTGCATGAGCCTTGCACGCATGTTAAACCATGTCACGGTGTGGCGGGCTTCCCTTATGGATTCACGTGGCCTGCCTCCAGTCCCAGCTGCAGCACACTACACAGGAGACTTTGAACAAGCTCCTCGCAGGCTAAACTTTGCTCTGCTGTAAAGGCCACACAGATCTGTGGGGCTTTTCCCCTTGAAAGGTAACTAGTCCTAATTTTTAAGTCTTCTTCTCCTCTGATACCTAAGATGAAGTTTAGAGACTAGACTATCTCTGGCTGCTGTGTGAATGAGCCCTCTGTCTACTTGCCTCTTCTCTCAGGCAAAGGGAGACTCCCTACCTGTAGAGAGCAGTCCTGGCGTGGCTATGTTTTCCCTCTTCCTTAAGTTCCCATCACACCTGTGTTCTGTCCTTGTCCCTCTGTTTGCTAAAGAATCTCATCAAGTCTTGTATCTATTTGAAGCCCGTTCAAACTGAGCTCCTTATTAAACAACATCTTACTCAGAAAGCAGAATTATTTTCATGAAGTTTAGCATGTTAGAGAAGATACACTCTAGTTGCTCATACTGATTATTTTTAACAGTAAAATTTATCTTTCCAGATTAAGATATATAAACTTTATTAACCAGGCCCTTAACAGCCCCAATTTAGATGATGTAGAAATTCATACCCTAAAGAAGTCATGTTAAATATATTAAAACCATATGACAAAGAAGAAATTTACAGTGCTGAGTGCTGCAGAGCAGCCCCTGTGTCAAAAGTTAATTCTGTATGAATTAATTTTAAAGCGCTTATGCCTTGATCTATATAGTAAATAAATGATTATATACTGGGATAAGAACAAAAGAATGTTGCTTGTCAGGGTAAGAAAGAAAAGGAGTTTAGAAAAATGAATGGCTTTAGGCGTGTTGGATAATGAAATGCCTCATTTAAATTATTTTACAGTTCAGGGCTTAAGTATTAAGAGATTGTTGTTTTATGTGTTACAGAGGAGAATTCGCTCTTTGGCTTGATGGAGATCTCTACCATGGAAGAAGCCATTCTTGTAAAACATTTGGGAATCATACACTTTCTAAAAAGGAAGATTTCTTTATCCAAGACATTGAAATCTGGGCTTTCGAATAAATACAGTGCTGTCTGTCTGAGCAGGATAAAGGCCCAAACCTGACATGGACAAGCATTGTTTGAAGTGTTCAAGAAGCAATACAATGTTACGTGTCACTTGTGCTTTCAATTAGTCTGTCACCATTTATTACAGCTATCATTTTGACGTTTATTTTTCAAATCATGTTCCTGTCCCAGAGTTCTTTAGATTTAGACCATCACCAGGTTTTTTGTCTGAATTTTGACAGCATTTTGACCATACCAGCCACTTTTTTTTCAATCCATGTTTTCTCAGTCTGTTATAGGATGGTGCTCTTCTGTTGATCCAACTTTTAAAAACTCCATTGTTTGTTTTATAGAGCAGTGTCACGGGGGCTTTGAGGAGACAGCATCTTCCTGCATGTGAGGTGGCACAGGTGACATTGGGACCTGCTCACCTTACACTTAACGAAGGAGACACCACATGCCAAAAGAGTATGCACTTAGCAGGCCACTGAGCTCTAGTTGCGACTGACCTATGACCTTCTCTCTTAATTTTGCAAACACTCTCCATTTCATTTAGAAGAATGGATTTGAGGAGAATTCTGGTCATGAGACTGCAGTGTACATGGTCTGCAGGTTTGGGCTTTCATCACTGACTTCTCAGATACAGGCTTACATTGGCGAAGGAGAATGAGAACTTAATGATTCTATTGGATTTACATACTAAGCAAGAAATTCTCATATTTACATATTATAGCTTAGTAGGGCATTGTCATAAACACAGAGCACACGTGGATGCATCAGCTGTGTAGTTCTCAGCATAGCGTGTCAGATACACTGTTTTACAGTTCAGTTGTTTTAGCTTTGTTGCACATTAGCCCCCAAAATATAGGCTTTTTTCTATTCAAAAAGAAAAAGCAGTTTTCTTTTTATTTTAGTGGTATATGTTATTTTCATTAGCATTGCTCTTACAAGGAGCAGTGACTGTAGTAGACAATATTGTAGCTCAGTAGACTTGGTGAATATGCAAACTTACTGTCAAGTGACCTCAAAAAAGTGAAAAGGTAGAATACACTAGTAGCTCTTATCCTCTTTTGTAGGAAACCAATAAGAAGCCATTGTGGCAATAATTCATCAGTTAACTTTCAAAGCTTCATGTTATGCAAAAACACACACAAAACCCTGCTGTTATTCATGTGACAGTGACTTTGTGCTGAAATTTCAGCAATTCCAGATGAACAGTGTATATCTTGTAAATTAATGTTCAAAGTAGTTTTGTTCTTACGGAAAGCGTCGATTGCCAGGATACTTATAGCACTTTATTCTAAAAATGAAATTATAAGCCAAATACATTGGCTTGCATAGTTTTAGTTGGGAAATACTTAAATATATTTGGTTCTTTTAAAAAATAATTATCTAAAGAAAGCATAATGCTAATCAAAGCAGACCTGGTGTTCTGTTCTAAGATGCTGTTGCTGACTATGAACAGGAACACAGGGCTTCCCTCCTTGGCTCTGTAACGCTCTCGTTTTGTTGGTAACAGTGTATAGGTTCCGTGTTTACAACATAGGGAATTGTAAATAAGTACATCAGGTCTTTTCTCCCTTTGGTCTTCCACAGCAGTATTATATTGTCTTTGTGGAGCTGACTAATCATAAAATAAAATTTTAAAAATCCTGTAATGGATTTCAATTACAATAAGCTCATAGTGGTATACACCAAATAAAATCAAATACATGGAAACAATCAAGAGTTCGGATTTATTTAATAATCCAGTCCTTTTCATAGCTAAGAAGTCATATAGGAAGCACACTGTCGTGTGGGGTGAAACCACTGCTTCTAGCCCACACTGTTTAGGTGGTGACTGAAGGGTATATCGGAGGTGCGTCAGAACTGCAGGCAGCGCTGCAGCTTAAGGAAAATGGCACCAGGGCCCATGTGGAAGAAGCACATCATTTACTGTTTCGCAGGTGTGTTTTCATGTGGGTGAGAGTACAGGAGAAGCCAGTGCCTTAAAGAGCTCTGTGCACTGCCAAGAAAGGCGTTCATTTCACAGGGGCAGGCAAGAGCATCGGAGTGGAGAAGAGGCCTGAGCAGTCCGCACTCGAGAGAACACCCCGCAACAGTAGGTTCCCAGAGGGAGAGAGTATAGAGACAAGAGCAAGCCAGCAGCCTGGCATATAAGCCAGAGAACAGTGACGCTGTCTGGCTAAGAAGAGCAGGGAGGAGGCATGGATTTGGAAGAGAGGAGTTAGGATGCACAAGTGGGTGGTGCTGAGGACGGGGCTCCAGAGTTGGCCCGACCGACGCTGCAGATGGCCAGCGTGCGATGAGAGGTAGGCAGGGCAGTGGGAGGAGGCCAGCTAGGGGCTGCAGTGATGCAGAAGCTGTAGCACTGGTTCACTGGCCATCAGATGAAGTGCTCGCCCCTGAAGGTGTCTGAGTGGGTTTGAAGCTGCACCTAGGGAGCAGCGCCTCCCAGCTCACAGCGGCCTACAAAGGGGCTCGGAGGCTGCCGTCTACAGTGCGGCAACGCTGAGCAGCAGGCAGAGGGAAGGCTGCAGCACGCCTCCATCTCAGGCAGCTGAAACCTGAGCAAGCAGAAGTCCAGATTAAATACAGCTAGACAGCACAGTCTCTGACAAGGCCAGTTTTCAGGCCCTGTAGCTTACAGGAGCACAGTGAGTGAGTGGTGAAGACGGGCAAGGGACTTGGCACAGCTCTGGAGGGATGCGAGCCCTTTGGACTTGGTGCCAGGACCCGTGCCAGTGCAGGGGAGATGGAGAAGCGCCTTGCCTTGTGTGCTACAGGCTTGGATTGGCCAGTTAGGGCGAGTAAAGGCTGCCCACACACAGGCCTCGGGCCCAGATAGTGCCACTGGTCCACTCGGTTTTAAAGGTAAAAGTACTATTGGTTTTAAATTAATTCTTCCAGGGCATAGAGGAAAGAACACTTCTGACATTGCCTTTTGAGGCTAGCATGACCTTACTGCCAAAATGTTAAAAAATATTTATAAAGAGAAAATTATGGAATCTATCAACAGAACTACAAAATTGGGGGGGGAACCCAGTAATATGTAAAATATTTTATAACACAGGATAGCAGGATAACATTTTTTTTAAAGTTTTTAAAATTTATTTATTTGGTACAGGGTCTCGCTATGCAGCTCAGACTCATAGTGACCCTCCTGTCTCAGCCTCCCTGGTGCTGGGATTGCAGGCCTGCGCCACCACGCCCGGGCCCCCGACCCTTGTGCTTGCCAGGCAGGCCCTTAGACCACTGAGCTCTCTCCCCAGCTCCAAGAGTAGATAATTAACTACATTTTTAATATGGTACTATTTCCTACAGTAACAGAAAAGTATAGTGTGATCATCTATAGATACAGAAGACTTCAGATCTAGTACCTATTTTTGATGAAAATTTAAGGGAATCTTCTTTAATGTTTTAAAAAATTATCACTGCGGACTGTATGGAAAGCATGTGAAAGTTTGGAACAGGAAAATTCTGCAGATTGGCATATTACCTGTTATTAGGAATTTATAGTTATTATAAAATATATTTTCTTTGATGATAAAATAGGATTTTCATTAACGCTTGTTTGCTGAGTTATATTATGGTCTGTCACAAGGTCTTAGGCTTTTCAACTGCGAATTTACCTATGATGGGGATTTTAGAATACTAATTTGGTTGAGGAGAAAATATTTTTTGGATTCCAGGTGAGAAGACAGTGATAGAATAAGTAATTTACATTCAGCATAGTAACATGTCTGGGGCCAGGGAGATGGCTCAGTAAAATAAGCGCTTGCCTGGCAAGTGCAAGAGCCTGAGTTCAATCCTTGGTTCTGCCAAAAAAAAAAAAAAAAAAAATAGCAACATGTCAGCCCTGAACTGTTCCTCACCCAGCTCAGGAAGTTGCCTCTGTGACACAGCAGTCACCTCCCGCAGACGCCAGCGTCCTGAGCTCAGCCAGGCCTGAGTCTGAAGCTTGTGTGAGTGTCGGCAAGCCGAGAAAGGACTCATTCCTTCCTCAGGTGGATGCGGAATAGTCTGTGTCAGTGGCCACGTGAAGTCACCAATGATGATCGTGTGAAAAAGAAGAGAAAATACAAGAGCTTCATTTATTCCTAAGCCTTTTAAAAAATTTTTGACATGTCACTGTTAGAAAAGTGTACATCATGATTCTAAGAAATACTTGTCATTAGTTTATAATTTTACAAATCTTGTATGGAAACAAAAACACTTTCTTTAAGAGGATAATGGCACTTTCAGTTTGAAAGAATACAGGAAAGCAAAGTAATTCTTAAGGTAGTTTAATGTGTGTTTTATTTTAAGTCTAACACAATTGTGAATACTTGATATTTTGAGGTATAATAATTTGACCTTATTTATTGTATTTACCTCCAGTGGTATAGTTCTTATGATTTTCCTTGAATTTGGTGGGAATTGTACCTCACATTTATCCACTGTTTTTAGGCTCAATAGGCCATTACTTCTCCTTAAGGAGAAATTAACAAGCAGCAGGTTATGTGAGACGCTTGCCCCTTGCTGCCTCCTGCTTACTGTACTTTTTTTTTTTTAACCTTAGCAGGACTCACATTGCTTTTTCATGACTTTTAGACAGTTATGTTTCTGTGTTTAAAATACAAAGGAAAATTGAAATGCCCTAAATGTTTTTAATTCAACAATGACTCAATGAGGGTCTTCTACCTTGGACACTCTGTATTGTGTTCTATATTTTTTCATTGTGCTTTGAAGTAGATTAAGCAGCATGACTGTTAAGACTTGTAGGAGAACATTGTCTGAGGAGTCGCAGGATGCTGGCGCTGTCCAGGTCTCCCCTGTGGACGCCACCCGCTTCCCTGTCCGGGGCCATAGCGGTGCATGTTTCAGGGCTTCGCTGCGGTGCCGCAGGAGCAGGAGGCCGGGGCTCCCAGCTGGGGCAGAGCCACAGCAGCTTCAGCCTCTTGCTGAGGACATACTGCCTCATGTGAGATGCTGATTTAAAAAGCAGGAAGTCCAACTTCTTGAGGATTTTAAGTTTAACCAAATTTAATGGACTCTTCATAAATTGTCGCTGACATGTTTTGCAAGCTTCATCTGAAGTCCACATTTTTCTTAGCTGTAGCAATTTTTCAGTAGATAGCCAAGTATTTTTTTCTTCAAAAGGTAAGTAGAATTTTAAATATCAATATTCTTACTATAATTAACATTCTGTGAGTGCTTTTGGAAATGCTTTCTGTGTGCTTTGTCAGTTTTCAAACCTCTTAAATAGTGCAAAATTCATTTATGTAAAGGTTGTTTAATATTTGTCGCCTTGTTACAGACTAGCTTGTTTTAGTCCTTCATAGGCTGGCATTGAGCGGCAGGACAGGAATGGGCCACGTCTGACTTGGTAAGGCTTGCTCCCAGGGAACACCGTTGCCGGTCACTCCAGCAGGGCGGTGGCCACCGGGTCACTGCAGCAGGGTGATGACCACATGGTCATCGCGGCCCTGCCACAGCATTTCTCCCTCAAAGTGTACCAGGCCGTGCTTCCTGGCACGCAGCAAGATGCCCACCACTTTGTCCGAAATGCGCACGTACCTGTCGAAGAGCTCTCCGAAAGTGACCTGCACCCTGCCGTCCCGTTGGTGGCGTGCCATGGTGCGGATGACCAGGCACAGTTCCATGATCTCACGGTGGATGTGCTGCTGGGCCCGCTCGGCCCGCTCTGCTGTCCTGGTGCCCTCCTTGGGCCGGCCGTATCCCTCGTCCCCACGGTGTAGGCGCGTGGCCATGGCCAGCTCGTAGTCGAACTCCTCGCTGAAGGGGTTGAGCTTCTGGGTCTGGATGTGCTGCTCTGCCCACTGCTGCCACCTGCCCGCCAGGCAGCCCACCTGGCTGAGCTTCCGGTGTGCCTTGCAGCTGAGCTGTTCCGTGTACCTTCCCGCCCTGCAGGAGAAAGGGCAAGGTATGGTCACTCGATGTGGCTTCTCCTCTGCACTGTGGCCAACGTGTGTCCTAGTGCGCATCCTTGTAATTTGTTCATTGTAAATATATATATAGGCACCCTACAGAATGTGAGAAGGGAAAGAAAACTCATGCTCACCCACTATTTAGGGTATGTGCCCTTCTAGATTATTTTCTCTGTAAGTAAACTGCATATATTAAACTTTTGAAAAAAATAAACTTTCTTATACCGAATTCATACAAGTGCGTATGTGTGTGTGTGTGTGTGTGTGAGTTGCGTGCTAGCAGCGTTTCGGAGCTGGGCTCTAGGTGTCGGAGGGCGTCCATGTCTTGGAGGACCTTCTGAGTGATTTCTGAAAGAGCTTTTGGAGCGCCACACAGACACACACCACTCAGCCTTGCAGAAATGTCGCCTGCGGGGTTAATGAGGCCGCACCTCCAGCTGCACTGTGTCGGCCAGCGAGCGCCAGCCGGGAGTAGCACTGACTGCTTCGTGCTGCTGTTCCCCACCACTGAGCGCCGCCACTGCCCCGCTCCTCGGAGGGGAGGTTCCCATGTCACAGAGCCGGTGGCGGCCCTGGAAGGTGAGCTGCAGGAGCATGGCCGCGAGTGGGGCAGGGTAGAGGCCCCGCTGGGCTGAGCGCACACTTTCTCCTGCAGCCTGCGCTCTGCCTGCACCGCCTAACAAAGGAGTGCTTTCAGCTGCACTTCGAATTTGGAATGCATTTTCTTACCAACAAGGCAAACCTGGTTTTGCAAAGTGTGGGCCAGTAGTATCATGAGGGTGCAGGCCTAATTCTAAAATAATCAAATTGTGTTTTTAAACATGTACTGCCAGCCAGTTGTGGTGCTGCATGCCTGTGACCCCAGCACTCAGGAGGCCGAAGCAGGAAGATTGAGTTCAGCCTGGGTTGCACAGTGCAAGGCCAGCCTGAACTCCTTAGAACTGTCTCGGCCAAACCAAACCAATGCTGCCCTGCTATGTCTGTGTTTCTAGCCATTAGACATTTCCCCCTCTGCCTTTGCAGAAGCACACCCAGAGCTCTGTCCTCCATCGTCACAGTGACTGTCCTCTGCCTGGCTGCCCACATGAGAGCGCAGGCTGCCCGTGCGGTGTGGGCAAGGCCTGGCATCTTCAGAAAAGCTCAGCTGGTCTTGGCAGTACCCAAACCTGCAGACATACTTGAGACCCAGGCTGCCTGCCAATGAAGACTTGGAGCACTCAGCAGGAAGTCCGGGAGCAGCTCGCTGCTACACACTTGTCTCCTGCACTGCAAGTAGAGCGTCCCCACCCGCCTGTGTGGCGCTGTGTCCTGCCCTATCCTCAGGGTACAGCCTGGTATCTGTCTGCCGTGTGATCAGTGTGGGTGGATGTGGGGCCTGTTGTGTCCTGTCTCTTCATGGTCACGATTCTACGGGCCGGTTATGGCATGTGATACCTGCCAGTGTGTTGGCACCAAGCAGTCTCTGAGTCCCGAGTCCTTTCTGAGTCCTGTGTGGATATGCTGGGTCCTGGGGACCTCTGTGGAAGGGGGAAGTATCTCCCTGGCCTCCTACAGTTAGATCCTGGCATGTCCAGGTGGTCCCTCTGTCAGGGAAGGGAAGTGGACAGAGGAAGTGCCAGGACTGTTGGCCCTCTTGGCCTGCTCTTTACTAGCTGAGCCATGAGTCCCAGCGTCCAGGGGACCGACCTAAGAAGGCATGGTGACTGCTCTGACTGTCATCACGTGCCCTGCAGCTGGCCAAGGCCTGGCATATGGCTATTCCCAGAGTCCCTGGCTCTAGAAAGAGGGCCTCTAGGGGGAAGGAGCCAGACTTTGGAGAGCAAGGTGCCTACAAATGATGGTAAGTGACCAAATGCCTGTTAGTATTGTCCAACAGTGCCACCTTGCTTCTGGAGCAGTGCCTGACCTTGCTTGGGCAGAGTCCCTCCAGCTTTGTGCGGAGCTGTGCATGGTTGGGTCTACACTGCCTGACGCAGAGCTCCCTGGGGAAGGACCCCAGAGGGCAAGAAGGGCTGTAGCCACCTGTGCCCAGCCTGGAGAGCCCCCAGAAGGCTCAGAGAGGCTCCCTGGAGCTTGAGGCTCTACAGCTTGCCTTGGAGCGTCACACTCACCATTAGGGACACGGAGAGGAGACTCGGGCCTCAGCCCCACCTCCCAGGAAGGGGCTGTGCACAGACCCTACCCCAGAACTGCAGGAGTCTGGGAGGAGGGGCAGTGGCCAGAGCCCCTAGGCTGGGCTGGCACTGTCCTGCGGGGCCTCTGTCTGGCCTCATCCTCCCCTGCCTCCGGACCCAGAGCGACCCAATCGTGGGAGCACAGACCACACCCACTTACTGGGAAGCCAAGGGGCGCTTGATCCTGGTGGTAGCCACCGGGGCTGCCTCCTGCTCCGGCCTCTCCTCAGCCTCACTGTAGCCACTGTCCTCCGTGTCCACACTGTCGCTCTTCCAGGTGGGTGTCTCCTGGCACAGCTCCTTCCAGCCCCTGCTTAGCTCTGATACCAGGTGGGCGCACTTCCTCCTGCGAGTGGGCGACGCATGGCTTCGGAGGAGCCTGTCCAAGCTGTCCTCTGAGTGCGCTGGCCCGGGTGGGTCCCCCTCCAGCTCATACCTATGGCCTAGGGCACTCACGTCACCCCCTCGCTCATAAGCCTTGCTCACGACACTTTTGGTCACCTCTTTCCTTTTGATGCGTGAGGCTTCGGTGGCTTCTTCTGAGCCATGTGCATTTTTATTGCCCTCTGGCTTTGGGGGTTGAGACTTTGTGGCCCTCTGAGCGTCCTGGAGGGCAGTGGGGTGCACGGCTGGCCGGGGAGCAGCGGCTTCATCCTGGGTCCCTCCTGGCACCCAGCCCGGGGGCTCCTGGGCTTGCCTGGTGCTGTTCTCTGAGGCCCACTGCTGCCAGCCCTGGGCCAGGTTGATGACCAGGGTGGCTGTGCGCACTTTGCGCAGGGCCCTCTTGGCCGGCCCCTCCGCCTGCTCCTTCTCTCCTGGGGCCATGCTACCTGTTCCTTCCCAGACCTATACTGCCCAGCAAGGAGCCTGGGGTTTAAATAGAAGCAGTGGGTGGGGGAGGGAGAGGGCTGGGGGTGGAAACTATGGGAAGCATTTGATGCCAGGGTGTGGTGCTTTGCCCTGGTGCCATTCTGTTTTTAAACCTTGGCAGCTCCTGCTCCGTGAGGCCCAGGACCATCGTGCAGCTGATGGGGAGTGACGAGCCCCCCCCCCCATTCCTTCCCCATGCGCCAGAGTGGAAACTACTGGATCAGAGCATGTGCCCAGCTTTATGTCTCCCTTGACCTTAAAACATGATCCTGCCAGGGACAGGAGCCTGCAGCATGTGGACAAGCTGTGCCGGGAACATCACGGGCCACCCCAGACCTCAGCCGGCCCACAGCTGTCGCCTGGTCCCATTTCATAGCTGAGTGGAGCAAAACTGACCTTCTTCTCCTGAAACAGCCCAAACATACCCACAGCTTAAACCTCCTGTAGGCTCAGCAAAGGTCCTGGCTAACCTTTCATTTTGCCTTCAATTTAAGCCTTTGAGGATAATCAACCCAATTTTCCTTTCCTAAGTGAGAAAAAAACAAAGGCCAGAGAAAAATCAGGTTCACATAAAGCCTATTTTCTAGTCCCAGGATTAACTTTCTGTACAGACAAGAGGTCAGAACTTTGGCATATTCATTTAAAAAATTAAAAGACTTGCAAATACATTGAATTTTAGAAGTTACAAATCTTTTCTAATATTTGGTTTAAAAATATAAAGACGGAACAAAAGAGTGCTGGCATAAACACATGGGTGCTTGTCTGCTTTGCTTAAAGTTGGTCTTGACATTCATGAAGGCAGAGAGTTTTTCTACCTTCAGAACAAATACCGAACTGAATATTGTTTAAAGGTCTGGAAAGACAGGACATATGGGCAAGAAAAGAGGTGCCTGTGGAGTATTTGGAACCAGAGAGAAATGCAAGGCTCATACTGGATTATTTCTTTAAGGCAAATAAGGTATATAGCAGTTCTCTAGGCTTGCCCTGCGTCCTTTAAACCTGACATGCAGTTCACCTATTGGTGGCAGACTCCTGTTTACTTCTGATAGTGAGGCACATTTATTTTGAAAAGAGGATGTCCACTTTCTATTATGTTGGCTGTTTATGTTCTACAATTAGAACCACTTAGGAGCTGATATAATGCTCTGTCAAGAAACTGTTGGGCCATGCCTGTAATCCCAGCACTCGGGAGGCTGAGGCAGGAGGATCATTGTGAGTTTGAGGCCAGCCTGTGCTACTGAGATTAGGGCCAGCCTGAACTGCATATCAAGACCCTGTCTCAAAAAGACAAACACAACAGAAGAGAAAGACAAGTGGGCATGTTCCCACAGTTCAACAGGGTCTGGTTATGTTAACCAGAGGCCAGCAATGCAGAATCAAAGTCCCTGCCAAGTAGTTAGGAGATGTCTTTTCTCATTGCTGAGACAAAATACCCAACACCCACAAATTTAGGGAAGAAAGGTTTGTTTAGTTCAGTAGACGTTTCAGTCCATATTTGGCTGGCTCCAAGGCAGGGTGGCCCGGCAGACAGGCACTGTAGGGGACAAACAGCTCTCCACGGGCAGAGCAACGAGGGACGACACAGCTCTTTCTGTCTCTTGTATCCCAGGCTCCTTAGGGCAGGCAGCACTACGTCCTTAATCCTTGTGCCGTCGAGCCTAGCACCGCACCATGAATCTAGGCTTCGGGGAGGTCGCAAGCCGTAGCAGGAGAACACTGGATCGCACAGAAAGAAAACTCCTACGAAGAAAGTTTCCAATCTGCCTGGGATCTCGCGTGCTCCTCCCAGAATGGAGCTCCCTGCACACAGGCAGGTGAGAGACCGGGGCCAGGGCCCTCCCGGCCTCCGCACGCACACCTGTGGCAGGTGCCGGGCTGGCGGAGGCGCCGAGCGGGACAGCAAGGCGCTGCGGCCGGCTGCGCGCACCTGGGGCTGTCTGCAGACAAAAAGCAAGCAGGTGCTTGCACGCTGGCCCTCAGGCATCGCTTAGCGCGCGTAGCGACTGCGCGGCTGCCTCGCCTGGCTCCGCACAAAGCCCGAGGCTTCTCCTGCTCACGCGGACGCTGCGCGCCGCCCGGAAGCGAGCGCTGTATCCCACCTCCTGTGAGTCGTCCAGTTCCTCTAAACGGCTGTGTTGTTCTTCTCGTCTAGGTCCAGCCAGGCACTGCGCCTTGTATTTTAATGTGTGGCATAAAACAGAAAGAAAAAGCAAACCCCAGCGACGTCGGTCACGCAGGATGTGGTTACAAAGAGCTTCCTGTGACACTGCAAGGTTTGAAACTGGAGGTGCACGCGCAGACCTGATGAATGAAGTAATTACCGCCTATTGAGTCTGCGGCGCACGCGAGAGTATTCTTCAAAAACGTGTGCTGTTTTTGATCCTCTGAGCAGTGCTCCAAGGGGAGGGAGGTTACAGAAGTCAGGTAGCGCCGGCCTTCACCGCCGCCTTGCGAACGCGCAAAGACCGACGTTTGCCTAACGCTCATCTAAAACAACTATTTCTTTGTTAAAAATAAACTTCGCCGCGTTTATTTGGGGGTTACAGTACGATGTTATCCATATAGATAGGAAAATGGTTACCACGTGAAGCAAACTAACGTATTACTTTTTGGACAAAAGCAGCTGGAATGTACTTAGCAAAACTCGCTGGTGCGATTCTGCTAAGCACAGCTTCATCTTCCCGCGACGCATCGGCCTCTGGCTTTGGCCACCTCGCAGTACCCGCTCGCTGCCTGCCGGCGGCTGCCGCTGGTGTGCATGTCTCCGCCGAGGCGCTGCGGCGGCGGCTGGGCCCGGGCGGGGTCTTCCCAGGGCCCGAGAGCGTTGGTCGGGTGCCGCCCGCGCCCTTCCGCCCGCCCCGCCCCGCAGGCCCAGCCTGGCCTCGCGCAGGCGCACTCGGCCCTCCCGCCCGGTTTTGGGTCACCCGCCAACTGCGTTTCCCAAAGCAGCGGCGCCCTCTGCGTTCAGGCCCGCGTGCACGGAGCTTTCCCTGCTCCCGCGGCGCCCACATCCACGCCTTGTCCTCCTGGTGGCAGGCGTCGTCTGGTCTGGGAGGGGACGGCCGTTCTCTTCGGAGAAAGGGCTGCTCAGCGCCTGTGCCCATGTCAAAGTGTATTATTTACTTATTTAGCCATGGTGCTGTAAGGGCTCTTTGTCACTGCTATTAGTACCAAGTCTTGGTTCTGGGCTGCGTGTCAGCTAGGGGGTCGGCTATTTTTTCCCACTCAGTAGGTTGCCGCTTCATCTCACTTTTTAACCATGCAAGAGTGTTTAGATTTAATGGTGTCCCATTTACTCTCTTTTGCTTTTGGAGCTTGAGAGGCTGGTGTGATAGCTAAGCAACGGTTGGCGAATTGCCAAGACCTTTCCCTCCGTGTTCTTTACTACGAGTTTTGTAATTTTGGATTTTACATTTAGGCCTTTGGGATACTTTTCATTGATTTGTGAGAAGGATTTAATTCCGTTCTTTTGCACATGGAGATCCAGTTTCCCGGCACCAGTTTACTGAAGAGAACGCCTTTCCCGTGGCCTTCCTGGACCTTGCTGAGCACCCGTTGAACCTGCGGCTTGGATGCCGGCCCGCCGGGCCAGGCCACGGGAGGCCACGCGAGGCCACACTGCTGCAACGCTGCCCGGTAAGTGCGGATGGCCGCGGGGCCGCCTCCAACTTTGTCAGTATTGCTTTGGCTATGTGCAGACATGTTTTATGGCTCAATATGAATTTTAGGATTTTTTAATATTTCTGTAAAGCATGCACATGAAATGTGAGAAAGATTTCCTTGAATTTGTATAGTGCTTTGGGTAGTATGGATACTTGTCAAACTCATGGGATATATTTTTATTATTTCCTTTTCAACTTCTTTCATTTATTTTCAACAGTTTTCACTGTATAAATTGTTTTCTTGTTTTTCCAAAATATTTCTTTTTGTTTTCATAAATAAGATTATTTTCTTGATTTCCTTCACAGCTAAGCCATTTTCTATGTATGTTTGGCTTTTAAAGGCTACTGGCCTTTAAATGGTGATTCTTATATCAGACAACTGTGCTGAGTACATTTGTTAGTCCTTATAGCTCTGTGAGTATGCTGGTGTGTTCTTAAATATTAGAGTATGTCATCTATAAATAGTGATAATTTTAGATCTAATTTGTTAGCTTTCTTTCTTTCTCTTTCCCTTGTCTGATTGCTGTTGCTAGTACTTTTGGTATTGTGTCGAACAGAAGTGGTGAGAATGGGTATCTTTGTTTTAGTTTGGACATTACTGGAAAATCTTCTGTACTGATACTGCTAAGAGTTTTTTTAACTAATTAAGCTCACTGATACATTCATGTGTCCACAGTGATCACACTTGCTGTAGGGAGCTTGTACCTGTATGCAACACAGCTCCATTCTGCTTTTCTATTCCCGCCTTGCTTCTAGCCCCTTATCCCCTTCTTACTTACAGAAGCCTTATTTCCTTCTTTTCTCATCATTTTTCTCCCCCACCCATTTCCCTTCCTGTTTAAACATTTTCTTTCTATTTTATAATATCTATTATACATTTTGATCCTTTTTGCTCTTCAGTTTCTCACACTACAGAAACAATGTGGTATTTAAGCATGTGTGCCTTATTTATGTCACCTGAGAGAATAGCCTTAAGGTGCATCTTCTTTATGTCACCTGAGAGAATGGCCTTAAGGTTTCAGCCATTTAGCTAGAAATGTCTCAAGTTTACCCTTCTTAAGGGCAGAGTAGTTCTCGATCATATAAAACCCCACTCGCATCCCCCATATCCATTCGTCGGTTCACGGGCATTTGGGATGTTTCCAAGTTGCCAAGCAGTTTTATGAGGGAAATTTATAGCAGGAAATACCTATATCAGTAAAACAGAGCAAGCTCAAATAAATAATTTAATGTTGAATCTCAAGCTGGTAGAAAAAGAAAAACAAGTCAAGCCCAAAGCTTGTACAAGGAAGGAAATTATTAAGATCAGAATAGAAATTAATGCAAGGGAGACTAAGAAAACCATGCAAGGAATCAATGAATCAATGAGTTGGTTCCTTAAAAGATTAAATAAAGTCAACAAAACCTTAGGAAAGAAAAAGACTCAAACCTATGTAATTAGGAATGTAAAAGGTAAAATCAGAGCAGACCCTGCAGGAATCCAGAGGACTGTCTACACCTACTTTGGGAACTTGTAGTCTAATAATATGGAAAATGTAGAAGAAATGGACAGATTCCAGGATACATAGGAACTGAATCCAGAGCTGAATCCAGAAGTATAAAAGTTCTAAATAAACCAGTATCAGTCAGTGGAATTGAAGATGTAATTAAAAACCTACCAACAGGGCTGGCCAGGTAGCTCAGCAGATTAAAGTGCCTGCTTAGGCAGACTCAGGGACCAGGGTTCGGTCCTCAGCCTGCCATGGCAGCCCTGCCCCCAGGGCACACTGAATGGTGATGGAGACTGGGCGTGGTGGTGCATGCCTACAATCCCAGTGCCTGGGAGGCTGAAAAACAGGAAGGATCACTACAAGTCTGATCTGTGTAGTGAAACCCTGTAGACCTTGTACTAAATACATTTTAAAAAACTACCAACAAAGAAAAGCCCAGGACCCAATGGATTTACTGCTAAATTCTACAAGAAATTTAGAGAAGACCTAGCACTACTACTACTTCTCAGATGTTTCAATGACATTGAAAGGGAAGCAGTACTCTAAAACTCATTCATGAAGCAAGTATCACCCTGACACCAAAACTTGAGAAGGACTCAACCAAGAAAGCTCTACAGGTCAATCTCGCTAATAAACACAGAAGCAGAAGTCCTCAAGAAGATATTGTCGAACAGATAGTAGCGAATCATCAAGACTGCACACCATGACCAACTGGGATATGCTCAATATCTGCAAATCAATAAATGTCACATACCATATTAACAGAGTCAAGAACAAAAGTCATGTCATTTAAATAGATTCAGAAAAAGCTTTCAGCAAAGTCCAGAACTCATTTATGCTAAAATTCCTAAAGAAAATTAAAATAGATGGTGTTTAGCATAATCTGATAAAAGCCATCTACGACGAGCCAATAGCCATCATGTAAATGGACAAAAACGGAAAGCTTTCACACTAAAATCAGAAACAACGCAAGGATGCTCGCTATCTGTACTTTTATTCAGTATAGTTGTGGAAACATTAGCTAGAGCAATTAGAAAATATATATACGTAAGGAATAAAGATAAAAAAGAAAGAAGTTAAATTATTTTTATTTGTGGATGACAGGATAAGTCTACATAGAAGACCCTGAAAACTTCACCAAAAAACTTCTTGACCCAGTAGCCAAATGCAGTAGCATAGCGGGATACAAAGTCAACACTCAAAAATCAATAGCCTTCCTGTACATAAATAACGAGGTAACCTAGAGAGAAAATAGAGAAACAATAGCTTTCAAAATAGCATCCCAAAAATGAAATACCTCTGAGTCAGTCTAACAAAGGAAGTGAAAGACATCTACACAAAAACTGCAGCACTATGGAAAAAGGAGATTTAAGAGGATATCAGAATTTGGAAAGATGTGGGGACATAGCTCGGCGGCATGAGTGCCTGCCTGGCAAGCCCAAGAACCCCAGTTTGATCCCTGGCACCACATGCTATGCCAGCCGCAGAACCTTGGGCGTACTGTAGCAGCCCCAAACCAGGCATCGTGGTGCATGCCTGTAACCCGGGGCGTGGGAGGCTGAGATTGGAGGATGTCTAGGAATCCAAACTTCGTAGTAAGACCTTGTGTCAAAAGAAAAAGATATCCCTTGTTTTGGGGTAGAAAGAACATATACACTGAAAACACTGAGTTTTTATCCAGAAGGAAAATGAAACCTTAATTTTTTTTATTTTATAAAAAAATTTTATAGCAAAATAAATAACAATAGTTCACATACTATATATCATAATCTTAAAAGTAACTCAGAACATAAGACATAGACAAAAATAACTCACAGAAAGAAACAAATAATAGCACACATATGTTATTTTTTTTCATTTATGCCATTAGTTTCTCTTAGTCAACTGAAAGTTAAAGATGAAAACATTTTGTCTCTGTTTACCGAGATAATCATGTGATTTCTTTTTCATTCCACTGCTTCAATTTATCACACTGATTGATTTATACCTGTTAAGCTAATCTGAGCTTCTAGGGATGAACCTCCCTTGGTCATGATGTACAGTTTTTCATGGGCTATTTAATTTGGTTTGCTGATATTTTACTAAGAAGTTATACTTTCATCAACCCTTTAAGGGCAGCCAGATAGCTCAGTGGATTAAAGCACCTGCTTAGGCAGACACAGGGACTGGGGTTCAATCCCTGGCGTGCCATGTTCCACCACTGCCCCCAGGGCACACTGAGACATCAAATGAGACTGGGCGTGGTGGCACTCGCCTATAATCCCAGCACTTGGGAGGCTGCAAAACAGGAAGGATCACTGCAAGTCTGAGCTGTATAGTGAGACCCTGTACTAAATACCAAAAATAAAATAAATAATAAATAACCCTTTTGACATGAGCTAATAGTACATTTACTTGTTTGCTTAACAATTGGTGAGGAAAAGACTTTAATGAAGAGATTAAAAGATAACTTTTTACTGTAGCTGAATTTGTTCAGTGTTTGTTCGCGGGGATGGGGCACGCAGTGGCTGAGGCTTGTGGCTAGAGTGGAGGGGTCAAGATGGACTCTCTTTCCAAGACTTGGCCGTCTGGCCAGAAGATACACCTGAATGGTTGGAGAGAGCTCCATTGCACATACACAGAGAACTTGATGGGTAACTGAATTCATTCAGCTCTGGAATGACTTCACAGACATGGCCATGCTTTGTCTGGACCTTAAAAGGTAAGGAAGGGCTGGCGAGAGAGCTAGCTCACCGGCCTAACGCCCCTGCCCAGGCCGCTTAGGCAGCGCACAGGGACCACAGATCCGCAGCACCACACGCCACGGCAGCCCCGCCCCCGGGTAGGCCGAGCCGGCCACACAAAAAAGAATAATAATAATAATAAAAGTAATTCTAAAAAGGTAAGGAAGGAGGATGGGGATGCAGCTCAGTGGCATAAGTGCCTGCCTGGCAAGCGCAAGGGCCTGAGTTCAATCCCCAGTAACGCAAAAAAAAAAAAAGGAAGATTTGACCAGGTGGCTAACAGCAGTGTAATCTGAAGAAACATCATAGGAAAGCTTACACAAGCACAAAAACACCACGTATGCTCAGCCTTTGAACGGCTCAGAGTGGAGATCCCAAACCCACACGTCTAGGGTGATAGGCAGGTCACTTATATATGGACTACGAGCACCTGATGAATAATCTTTCAAAAGAAGTAAGAATTTTATATTGAACTTCCCCAGTATTTTTTTTGTTTTGTTTTGTTTTGTTTTTTAACCAAGGATAGAACTTGGTACCTTGAGATTGCCAGGCAGGTGCTTATGCTGCTGAGCTACATCCCCGGCCCCCAGTTCTTATAATAGCAGTAGTAGTTATGCGTGCACACACACATACACACACACACACACACACACACACACACACACACAGAGGCATGGTGGCACTATGTGAGCCAGCAGCACAGTGGAACCTGCTTTTGGGCTGGACTCCACTTTTGTGCACACAGCACGTGGTCTCCAGTACGGTGTGGACACAGCGCCAGTGCAGCAAAGCTGTCTTGAGGGGAGTAAGTCGGACCTCCACTGAAAGAGTGTCCCCCTCAGCAAGCAGTGCTTTATCATGCAAGGACCACTGCGTGATCCTCATTAAACCTCACAAGATGGAATTGCTCCAGAACTGGCACAGTGCAGTTGGGATTTGG